GTGATGAGTTTTGTCTTAAAACTGAAGCGAGTTAATCATTGAACCTCCACAAAAAGTCGGACTTTGAGCTGTTTTGTGGAGCCGCTCCTCAGACGATTTAATCTGGGGGTCAGGAGAGTTCAGCCGGCGTGGCTCGACTCGGCTCGGCTCGGCTCGGGTCGGGTCGGGTTGGAGGATCGCTGTGGGGGAAATCGATCGACTCGTGTTTGACTCGTCTCCGCTCTGACTCGACCTCCGGACCTTTAAAATCCTCAGAACGAGTGCAGCATAGAGGCCGGTGGATGAACGATAACGTTGACTCCAGATCCTGGATCAGTCTTCTGGTTTCAATCAGATGTTGTGTTGACGCTCAGCTTCACCTGAGCTCGACTCTGATAAGAAGTTCTGATGACGTCTCGTCTCATATCACATCTTGTTTTGATTATTGAAGCTTTTTGATGATTTGGACTCTTTTTTATGGAGATATGGTTTCGTTTTCTTGTGATTTTTGTCTTTTTTTGGTGCTTTTGTGTCTTTTTGTGGTGATTTTTTGTCTTTTTATGCAGATTTTGCTTCTTTTTTTCGTGATTTTTGTCTTTTTTATGATGATTTTGTTTCGTTTTCTTGTGAGTTTGTGTCTTTCTGTGGTGATTTTGTTTCATTTTTTGTTATTTTTGTCTTTTTTTAGTGATTTTCTTTCCTTTTGTTGAGATTTTCTTTCATTTTATGGTGATTTTTGCCTTTTCATGCAGATTTTGTTTCTTTTTTTCGTGATTTTTGTCTTTTTTTAGTGATTTTCTTTCCTTTTGTTGTGATTTTGTGTCTTTTTATGCTGTTTTTGTGTCTTTTTGTGGTGACTTTGTTTCATTTCGTTGTGATGGTGGTGTATATGAATGTAGGTGTGTATTAATAAACCCGACCTGACCTGTGTGCTCCCTCAGATCCAGTGCAGCAGCTGCCAGTTTGTGTGGTGCTTTAAATGCCACGCTCCCTGGCACAACGGCCTGAAATGCCGCGACTACAGGAAAGGAGACAAGCTGCTGCGGACGTGGGCGAGCGTCATCGAGCACGGCCAGAGGAACGCCCA